GCAATACTCATATCAGATAAAATAGACTTTCAAATAAAGGCTGTGAAAAGAGACAAAGAAGGACACTACATAATGATCAAAGGATCAATCCAAGAAGAAGATATAGCACCTATTGCTTTTACAGAGATTTCCAGACCCTGTGAAAGGGCCTTGGTTGGAATTGAGCTGCATGTCTTATCATTGTAAATTTGTGCAAACTCAGTAGAAAGAACCCTGACTGCTGTAGCATCTAATTTGTTAAATGATGTCTTGAAACCAAAGCCTGTGTAATTCCGTCTTTCTTTTTAACAGCTTAACATTGGGTGTGCCAATCAATTCAGCAGTGCTGCCCCAGTTCTTCTTCAGTACTCTCATGATGCTGGAATGTCCTGGTTTCTGGTAAAAGAAGGCTGTTACCCAGCTTCCACAGGCAAGGGATGCGAAGGAAACTCCAGAGAACTGAGTGAACCAACCATGTACCACACGGGGGACTTTGAAGAATGGACAAGAATCACCATTGTTATTCCAAGGTCTCTTGCATCCAGGTAAAGTGCCCATTCTTACCATGTGCCATAGTTTCCATTTCTAAGGAGCATAATTTTTCTCAGTATCTTCATTTCATGTATCTCAATAACCTAAGAGAATTCATAACCTCTAGCAGTATCTATCCAAGTAATGGCTCTCAAGAAAATGACACACACATTTGTGAAAAAGTTTACTAACTGACTCATCCATTCATTCATTCGACAAATACTTATTGAGCCACCTACCTGTGCCAAGTTCTGTCCTGGGCACTAGGATTACATCACTAACCAGGAGATGTTTAAAAGCTAAGTGAGTTATAAAGCGTTATTTAACAGACTTTCACTATGTGATGACTTTTTTCTAACTTAATGCCTTCTTGAATAGACAATTTGAGATATCTCATCATTAAGATAAATATTAATATAATAGAGAAAAAGATTTTAAATCAATTGACAGAAACATGAGCTAAATGAATTAAGAACTTGAAGCAAATTAGTTTTTGTAATATGTTAACAAGTTTGACTCTTAGCTTCCTGGCAGCTAGGACAAAGTGTGAGAGGTCAGGAGATAGGGTCAGTTGGTTCTCATTGTTGAATAAGAAGAAAGAAAATATATACATTCTGATAAAAAAAATTAAGTGTACTTTTTTCTAAAATATAGTTGTATTGTGTATATATATCTTTGTGTTGGGTTGAGTAGGTAACATCAAGATCAATATCTTAGCTATAATTTTTCAAAAGATAAAGAAGCATTCTTCAAGTGGACACTTTTTAATTGAATCCTAGAACATGATATTCAATTGTGACTCAGTCAAAGCATTTCTGTGCAGAACTGAGATGATATAATAGGTCTATTTGTACTGCTGGTGATGTAACTTAATATAGAGGTTGAGCTACTCATTAATGCCATTAAGCATTATTTCCAGCCTTACTTTCTTCCTAGAATATGGTAGGACTATACTTTCTCCACACAATTTAAAGTTAGGCATTGCCTAATGAAATGTGAGTGGAAATGGAACACGCGACTTTGAGTCCATGTGTGTTTTGCCATCTTATCTGTTTCATGAAAGCACCTTTTGTGATGAAGCTTACATCAGTCTGGGTCCTTGAATTTCTGCAATCAGCAGACTTTCTTACAACCTATACTGAACATATAGCATAAGCCAGAAATAAACTTTTGTTGGGTTAAACCATTGAGACTAGGGGCTGCATGTTACATCAGCATAACCTATCTCTTCCTGACTGACCAAATGATAAAAGCTAGGAATCTATGGGAGTGGTTTATTTATAGTGTTTGTAGAGACCATTCTGTCTATAATCTTTCACCTAATTGATCACCAGATTTACATCTAGCTGGATATCCTGGTTGTGTTCTCTGCCTCCCTCGTTAATTAGATATGCATACCTTCAGAAACTGCACCATAGATTGCAGTATACATATGTCTCAGATAGGTAAGAAACTTGTGTGGTCAGGATATATAAGTTTCGGTGGTAATCTACTAAACTTTGGAGCATAATCTTTAAATGCCAACTATTTCAAGAAAGAATTCATCAGTCATTGGATCTAAGATCAACTTATAAGTAATTTTTTTTGTCTTTACATGCCAATGTACTTTGTTGTGTATCAAAGAGACTCAAATGACTTGGTTTGTGCCAGAGTTGATGAGTTGACCTTCTTTAGTGAAATTTAATAATTTGACTTGCCTTATGCTTTGACTAGGATACAAGTCCAGCTACTATAAAAGCAAAATAAATTCAGATGCTTAACAAGGCTTAAACAAGATAGAAATCCATTCTTTACTGCATAATAGTCCAAAGGTGAGCAGTTCAGAACTGACAGGGTATCTCTGCCATTCTGAACACACAACTTCTATCTCTGGATCCAAGTCAGCTATTCCAGACCTTGTTACCTCTCAACCAGTGGAAGGAAAATGATCAGGAATGCATAGGTGCATTACTTTTTAAAAACTATCATTAGTCCTTTTTCATATCCCTCAGTAGAGCATAGGATAATATTTCTACAGTTGCCTATTGCTGTGCAACATTCCTCTCCAAAACATAGTGGCTTAAGACAGCAGTGGCTTATTATTTCTCATGGTTTTATGGAATTGATTGGGTAGTTCTTCTGCTCGTCTCTCCAAGCTTTATAATGTAGCTTTGTTCAATTTGTAGGTTGACTAGTGTCTGGAATTAGTAGGACCTTTTTCTCTATGTGGTTTTCATCCCAGTATCCTCCCCAGTATTCATAACAATATCCACAGTTGGGTGGTTTCAGCATTAGAAAAAAACAAAAGTAGAAGCTGCCTGACCCTATCTTACTGCCACACCCTAGGGGTCAAAGCAAGTCACAAGGCAAGTCTAGATACAGAGAGTGAGAAAACAGACTCCTCTTTTTGATAGGACGTGCAGAAAAATCTTATAGAAGATATAGATAAGGAGGTGTGATCCACGTGAAAGTGAAAATTACTCAGTTGTGTCCAACTCTTTGTGACCCCATGGATTATACAGCTCATGGATTTCTCTAGGCCAGAATACTGGAGTGGGTAGCCTTTCCCTTCTCCAGAGGATCTTCTCAACCCAGGGATTGAACCCAGGTCTCCTGCATTGCAGGTGGATTCTTAACAACAGCTGAACCACCAGGGAAGCCCAAGAATACTGGAGTGGGTAGCCTATCTGTTCTCCAGAAGATCTTCCCAACCCAGGATTCAAACTGGGATCTCCTGCAATGCAGGCAGATTCTTTACCAACTGAGCTACCAGGCATTGTTTTCACAACCTAACATAGTTTGTCCTAGCCCTCTGATTCACATCTGTTCCCCATGAAAACATACTCATGTTCCTCCCAAGACCCTCAAAGGCTTGTCCCATCATAGCATCAGGCTCTAAGTCACTTATCTCATGTCAAGGTTCCCTGGATATGACTCACAGATCTAGGAACTGAAAAGAAAAAAAAAAAAAAGAGTTATCTACCCCACCCCTACCCAACATAAAACAGTGAGATAAGATAAACATAATATAATAATAATAATATATAACAACATAATAAACACTGCCCACTCAGGAAAATGAAAAGAATGGGAAGCACACAGCAACCACTGGTTCACCAGAATTCTGAAAGCCAACAAGAGAGCTGTTACTAGGGTTCCCTTCTCTATGAGCAATGTCCAGGATAAGAGAGTTTGACAATTCTGCTCCTGGTGAGTAGTTCCCTAATTTTTTGTTCTTCTCAGCTGTTTGTTCTACTCTATAGGCTTCATCCTCTGAGACATCTTTCCTTTTCCATAAGGACATATCTGCCTTTGGAGCTAAATAGCCCTTTCATCCTGCTTATTCCCCATCTCAAACTGGGCATTGTAATATTGCAGCCCTTGTAATCCTCACCCCCACCACTGCCATTCTATCCCCATGTTTTTCTGAAACTGTTCACTTCAGTTGCTCAGTCGTGTACAACTCTTTGCGACACCATGGACTGAAGCACGCCAGGCCTCCCTGTCTGTTACCAACTCCCGGAGTTTACTCAAACTCATGTCCATTGAGTCAGTGATGCCATCCAACCATCTCATCCTCTGTCATCCTCTTCTCCTTCCGCCTTCAGTCTTTCCCAGCATGAGGGTCTTTTCAAATGAGTCAGTTCTTCGCATCAGGTGGCCAAAGTATTGGAGTTTCAGCTTCAACATCAGTCTTTCCAATGAACACCCAGGACTGATCTCCTTTAGGACGGACTGGTTGGATCTCCTTGCAGTCCAAGGGACTCTCAAGAGTCTTCTTCAACACCACAGTTCAAAAGCATCAATTTTTCAACACTCAGCTTTCTTCACAGTCCAACTCTCATATCCATACATGACTCCTGGAAAAACCATAGCCTTGACCAGACGGACCTTTGTTGGCAAAGTANTGAAGCCTGGCTTGGAGAATTTTGAGCATTACTTTACTAGTGTGTGAGATGAGTGCAATTGTGTGGTAGTTTGAGCATTCTTTGTCTTTGCCTTTCTTTGGGATTGGAATGAAAACTGATCTTTTCTGGTTTTCTGAAACTGTGGCCCAACCTTACCTTTCCCAAATAGACATGTGCAACATGTCATGAAGCTGGGGAGCATAAGGGGTAAATATTTGCTGCCATGACTAGAATACCAGGATGTTGGAAGGTATCGCTTTGAAAGTAGTCCATAGAATCAGGAGCCAAGGAACACAATGCTAGTGTGATACCCCAAAGCCAGATAATATAGAGTTGAATCTGAAACTGCAGTTCGTTTGATGCTGAGTAGAATCGCCCAGTTGGTAAAGCCACATCTGAGAAATAAGAAAAGACTATCCTTATTATCACAAAATGAGCCAATATTTTGAGGCTTCCAATTTATCAATATTTTCTTAGACCTCAGCTTTTGGAAGGCAAAATCTTGTTCATTAGGATCTGGCTTCCTGGTTTGTTTGAATACTATCCAACTTGCTCGGGATGGCATTTGTGATGGAGAGCTCTCTACTACAGAATAGTAAATATGTTACTGCCTCAACCCAAGAGAATGAGCTATTGTTTCTTCTGCAGTATGTTAAACTCAGATATCTCCAAATGCAGTGTTGGAAAGCTGAGAATTATAAGTGAAAATTGTTAAAATTTGTAACTATTTTTCCACAAAGCAACATGCTTATCAGTTCAGTTCAGTCGCTCAGTCATGTCTGACTCTTTGCGACCCCAAGAATCGCAGCACGCCAGGCCTCCCTGTCCATCACCAACTCCCAGAGTTTACTCAAACTCATGCCCATCAAGTCGGTGATGCCATCCAGCAATCTCATCCTCTGTCGACCCCTTCTCCTCCTGCCCCCAATCCCTCCCAGCATCAAGGTCTTTTCCANTATTTGGAACCAGTCTGTTGTTCCATGTCCAGTTCTAACTGTTGCTTCCTGACCTGCATACAGATTTCTCAAGAGGCAGGTCAGGTGGTCTGGTATAATAGTTACTAGAACATTGTTCTTTTACAGATAATTCGAAGCTGATTTTCTCAAAGGAACAGTCTGTGCTCATGTTAATTCTCTTGGTTCTTGCCTACAGAGGAGGGACATGGTGGTGGTAAATATGCGCTGGTAACTCCCTGCTGACCCTCATCCCCAGCCATACCGCCGCTCAGCCTTCTCTTGGCTCTCTGTGCCAAATGCAGAAAGTCAGCATCTCTGGGAAGGGCTAGAAACTCAGCTGCTTAATATTCTGCCCAATGTCTGCTTCACCACCACACATCACAAGACAAGCCGGTACTCAGGCGCTTACCTTCCTGGTTTAAGTGGCAGATGCAACACCCCTCTGAAGTGTGGTGGGCCGAAGGACAGGGGTAGAAACTGATTCTCCAGGTCTCGCAGGCATCCTCTGAACAAAGATGACAATTGGAAAAGGAGTAAAGAGAGAGTGTGTTATCTTCTACTACCTTATCTGAAACATGCAGGACAAAGTGGAATTTTGCTTTCTGAGGGGCAGAAATTATAGATCCATGTTTCTCTGGGTTCTATTATAGAAACTTAAACAGAAAAGGCAAATGTGACTTTAATTAAAGAAGACTTTTACCAGGGAATTGAAGTGTTTCTTTTTTATTATAGATGTACAGCCTATCTTTTGGAAGGGGCACAGAGGCCTTACCATTTTATTACAAACAATTGGCAAAAGATGCCTTTCACCAATTCCATTTATTTCCTTTGAAGGAAAAATATCTTCACAGGCTAAATAATATTATAACTCCATTGGGAAGAGTTTTCCTAAAGCCCATGGCTTTACAACTGTACTTTCTTTTTTCTTTTCATTTTTTTGGTTTTGCTTTGTTTTGCTAATCTTCAATTCCGTTGTCTTTTGCCTTAAAAAATAAGACTGATACATTTTGAATTAACTTCAAAGGAAATAAAACATGCATTCCCCTTCCTTTTGACACATTGAAAAATGTGTTAAGACTTGCATTAAAAGAAATTAATCACTGAAAAACTTTTTAAACCTAGTAAACAACATTGTTGGCTACATTTGTAAATTTGCCAAATGTAGATAACTTAAAATAATGAAGAAAAAAGCCAGGGTCATGATTCGGCGTTGCCAAATTACCGTAGTTATTTGAAGAGCCAGAAAGAAATGTACTCTGATACTGCTATAAGAGAGGAGAAAAGAAACCATCTTTATCTACAATTATTCTTGATAATCTTCATTAATCTTTAAGATTCTTTACTCTTCTTTACTTAGAGACTGAATTCACTCAAAAATCTATAAATAATGGCAACATAATTAATTGGTATTTAGATAGTCTAATCTATCTTCCCTCTTTAATGTTAGTAGAAGTGAGAAGGAAGAGATGTTTTCTTATTATGAAGTTATAGATGTAGGTGGGTTTCCATGCATTTGAAAGGAAGAGAGATGTGTTGAAAGGATTGGAAATATTAGAAAGCAACTGGGACAAGTTTTAGTTTGGCAGCCTGAAAACTTATGAGGGAAATAGGACTGGACAATAGCCCAGGCCACTGGTGTTCCAGGGTTTTGAAGCACTGGGACCAGGTCCCTCTTTTGTTTGTTGTCAGTTACCAGTGTTCGTTGGCAGCCCAGCTGGTTGCTAAGTTTGTAAAATAAGCATCTTGGAGACTTCAAGATGAGAAGTGAGGAAGGCAAGGAAGGCAACAGGTGAGAATATAGCTGTCAGTACAAACTTGACTCTTTCCTACCAGAATCATGCAAATGGCAGAGCCATAGTCCCCTTATTTGTTCTAACAAAGTACATTCTATTTGATGGTTTCAAAGATTCCCAAATATCCTCTTAAAATATGCAAGAAAAAGAAAAAAACTATGTTTCTGGCCATCAGAATCTTCTTTATCTGAAATCCTCCTGATATTTAAACATTTATGCTGAAGAAAATATCAAGAAGTTTTGATAAAGATTTGAGACCCTTTTAAAGGTTAAGTGTCCAATCAAGTGAACATGACTCCCAAATAAATATATATCTCTTGAGTTTTTCTGAACTGTTCTGTATTGTAGTGCTTTGATATGAGATATTGGTACCAGAAACACATGTGCTGTTTTTCCCAACAGTAAGACCAGATTCCGATGGATCCAGGAGAGCAGCTCCCAGAAGAACGTGCCTCCTTTTGGCTTGGATGGCGTATACATATCAGAGCCTTGTCCCAGTTACTGCAGTGGCCATGGGGACTGCGTTTCAGGGGTGTGTTTCTGTGACCTGGGGTACACCGGTAAGGCTGTAGACATGTCTGATGATTTGTTTGGAAAATATTCATCTCTGAGTACTGTATGTCATGATACTTCTTCCAAGGAAATATATTCTTAAGTATTTATTCTTAAATCCTAAAATTATAGAAATTTGTAACCTAGGCAAATGAGGTACCGAGATATTTTGTAGTTTTGAGCTGCCTAAGAAGGAAAAGCATGATAACATGTATTTCATCCCTTAAGTATATTCATTTACTAATAATAGTGATAATAATTAACATTACTTGAGTCCCTACTTCATTCCAAGCACTACAGTAGGTGTTTTTTATTTCACCTCATTTAATTCATGCAACAAATAACCCTACAACATAGTACCGTCCTTGTCCCTGTTTACACTTAAGGAAACAGACACGAAGACACACAGTAACTGTCCCAAGGTTACACAGCTAAGAGTTGCTACAGCTCAGCTTTAATCCCTGGCAGCCAAGCTCTTAAGCATTAGGCTTCCTGTGCTCTTTACGTTGCTTTTATACAAAGTGTAATTTTATGCATTTAAAGTAAAAGTCAACTTATGAAACGATAAATGCAAGACTGCCAAACAAAAACTTAACAAGAGAAGTATTTTTTGACCATAATCACACTTAGATGTTGCTACAAGCAAAAGTAAAAAGGAAGCTGAGATTAAAGAGTAAAATGGGAGAAAATATTATAAGCTTCGTAATCTTTTTATAGAATTTTTCCTGGAATTAACTTCAAAGGATCCTTCCCAGCTTTTCAGTGTTCTGCTCTTCATCTGGCACGTGACCAAAGACAAACATATGTTGTTACAGGCCTTCTGTAGAGAGTGCTGTCACTTGTAGTTTCAGGGTGTTTTTTTCTTAAATCTGGGATAAACTCCCCATATTGATCCTCTAATATAAGGACAACAAATGAGCAAATTTTATTTGTGGGCAAAATCTTATATCTCAGTTTACACAAATCCTCTGGTTAACAAAAATCATGAAACTGTGTGGTTCCCTCTGTGTTTGTGTTTAAAAATTTAAAATAATAGAAGCAGAATACTGTTTTGATGATAGCAGTGATGACTGTATTTCAGGCAGATGACTGAGGTTTAAATTTTGATGTGGTTTCTTTCCCCCAACACCTATGACAAAGTCTCCTTTGCCCACACACTGATGTACCTTCTAATGTTTCATGATTTTGACAAAACCTGTCTCCTCTGTATTTCTTTTCTCGGAAGCGGCACAAGGAACCTGTGTGTCTGTTGTCCCTAATCCCAGTGAGATGTTTGATAGGTTTGAGGGGAAGCTCAGCCCACTGTGGCACAAGGTAACCGGAGGCCAGGTTGGAACGGGCTGTGGGGCCCTTAATGACGGGAAGGCTCTCTACTTCAGTGGCCCCGGGAAAAGGGAGGCGAGGACTGTCCCTCTGGACACCAGGAATATCAGGTGAGTAGTTAACTGGTCGCTTCTCCATGAACATAGTATTTACCTTGCTGTGTGATCTAACCTACAACACTGTTCTTTTCAGGGTTTACGTAGTAATGTTTCTCTGCATAGATTCTGATATATAAAAATGAAGCATAACTTTATAATCAAATAGATTCTGCAAAACTTATACTGTCATCACCAAGGCCTGTGTGTCTAATATATGTCAACTTGGTTTTCTAAAGTTCTGTTATTATGAAGAATATTTGATATTAATTTTAATATATGCCAGGAGAAACAAAGAATTTTTTGCAGCTTTGAATTGTGTCCAAAAATGTGGTGCCCCATTTATCTAAGTTTATTTGTATTCACTTATTGAAAACTGTTCCAGAAATTTAAAATACCTACACTGACACCTACTGGTACAATAAATAAGTGCTTAGTTTTAAGGGCAAATGAAATAGTAGCACACCTAAAATATAACTGTGCTTCTTTAGTTTTAATCAAATTATTTTGGAATTGGAAGAAAGGAAGTTAAAGAAAGGTTTGAAGCTTTTAGAGCTTCTTCTCACTAAAATCTGGGTTCTGTGTCATATGTTTTCTACCTTCAGTTTCTTTCTCCTTCCTTCTAAGTCCTCACAGAGCTAACCCTGTCATGTAGGTTGGTTTATAGTGACTGAGGCATAGATTACATCACCCTGAGAGACAGTTGTGAAAAATTAAACCATCTGAGTTTAAGTCCATAGTAGAAGTAATTGTCTGGCCCTAAACAAATATAACATTCAAGTTTTTAATGTTAGATTTTTCCTCCTGAGTTTCCGAGTATAGTATCATCTCAATTTAAAGGAATTCCATTTCAGTGATTTCATTAAATTGCATCAGACTGTCACAGTGAAATGAAGTTAAATTGTTTCCTTTTGTTTAAATCATTATTCCAAAATAAAATTAATGGTCATATCAGTTAAATTTTCTGAATGGTTATAGAATTAGCCTACTATCTAATCTGTGTAGTTTCTGCTTGTCGTATGCTCTTTGTGTTTAAAAATAGTACCTAAGAATTACAGGAGTTTTACTTTTTACTGTGTCAAAATATAGAAGGCTAGATGTCTTCTGAACTCATGTTTTTAAGTAAACTGAGGTGTTTTGGGTTTTTTTCCCCCCCAGACTCGTTCAGTTTTATGTACAAATTGGAAGCAAAACTTCAGGGATTACCTGCATCAAACCAAGAGCTAGAAATGAAGGTAAGCTGCTGTATTTCCATAAAAACTACAGTTACTCCTAGCAAAGTAGTTCTTTCTCCTCCCAAAGTTTGGCTGAAATTTTGTAAACTGATTTGTTGTTCAGTTGCTCAGTAATGTCCGACTCTTTGTGACCCCATGGACTGCAGCACACCAGGCTTCCCTATCCTTCATCATCTCTGAGAGTTTGCTCAAACTCATGTCCATTGAGCCAGTGATGCCATCCAACCATCTCATCCTCTGTCATCCCCTTCTCCTCCTGCCTTCAATCTTTCCCAGCAGCAGAGTCTTTCCTAATGAGTCAGCTCTTTGCATCAGGTGGCCAAAGTATTGGAGTTTCAGCTTCAGCATCAGTCCTTCCAGTGAATATTCAGGGTTGATTTCCTTTAGGGTTGACTGGTTGGATCTTCTTGATATCCAAGGGACTCTCCAGAGTCTTCTCCAACACCACAGTTCAAAAGCATCAATTCTTCTGCACTCAACCTTCTTATTGGTCCAACTCTCACATCCATGCATGACTACTGTAAAAACCATAGCTTTGACTAGATGGACCTTTGTCAGCAAAGTAATGTGTCTGCTTTTTAATAGGCTGTCTAGGTTTGTCATAGCTTTTCTTCCAAGAAATAAGCATTTTTTCATTTCATGGCTGCAGTCACCATCTGCAGTGATTTTGGAGCACACAAAAAAATAAAGTCTGTCACTGTTTCCATTGTTTCCCCATCCATTTGCCATGAAATGATGGAACCAGATGCCATGATCTTTGTTTTCCGAATGTTGAGTTTTAAGCCAACTTTTTCACTGTCCTCTTTCACCTTCATCAAGAGGCTCTTTAATTCTTCTTCGCTTTCTGCCATAAGGGTGGTGTCATCTGTGTATCTGATGTTATTGACATTTCTCCTGGCAATCTTGATTCCAGCTTATGCTTCATCCAGCCTGACATTTCATGTGATGTACTCTGCACATAAGTTAAATAAGCAGGGTAACAATATACACTTTTGATGTACTCCTTTCCCAGTTTGGAACCAGTCAGTTGTTCTATGTCCAATTCTAACTGTTGCTTGTTGACCTACATACAGGTTTCTCAGGAGGTACATAACGTGGTCTGGTATTCCCATCGCTTGAAGAATTTTCCACATTTTGTTGTGATCCACACAGTCAAAGGCTTTAGCGTAGTCAATGAAGCAGAAGTAGATGTTTTTCTGGAATTCTTTTGCTTTTTCAATGATCCAGCGGATGGTGGCAATTTGATCTCTGGTTCCTCTGCCTTTTCTAAATCCAGTTTGAACATCTGGAAGTTCTCAGTTCACATACTGTTGAACCCTAGCTTGGAGAATTTTGGGCATTACTTTACTAGCATGTGAAATGAGTACAATTGTGCAGTAGTTTGAACATTCTTTGTAAATGGATACACTACCCTAAATCATTTCTTCGCCTCTCCATCACTAAACGGGTAACTGCAGAGAGCCTTGGTCTCTAAGTTTCCTCATCCAGATCCTTAAGCCTAGAAACATATTTGTTTTAGGGAAACCTATTCCTTTATAGGAGTTCCCAGGTGGCACTAATGGTAAAGAACCCACCTGCCAATACAGGAGACATAAGAGGTGTTGGTTCAACCCCTGAGTCAGGAAGATCCCCTGGAGGAGGACGTGGCAACCCATTCTGGTATCCTTGCCTGGAGAATCCCATGAACAAAGGATCCTGGCAGGGTACAGTCCATAGGCTCGTAAAGAATCAGACATGACTAAAGCTACATAGCACACACACATATTCCTTTATAACTTTACACAAGGAGAAAACAAAATTGCAGAGACTTTTACATTCAGCACTGTAGGGGACTAGGAATTTCTTTGCATAGGGTATTACTGATTGCAGATCATACACTGCTTCCTGCCCATTAACAAATCCTTTGGTAGAAGGAGCAGCTTTGGGTAATAATAAATATGAATTTTTACTGAGCAGTTATATATGCAAGGCACTGTTCCAGGTGTTCTATCTGTTAATGCACTTAATCCTCACCATACCCCTTTGCCATAGGTACTGTAATTTATCCTGTTTTACAGATGTAGATGTTGGGGCCCAAGGAGGACAAATAACTTACTCAAGATCAGTAAGTGGACGAGCAGAGATTCAGACCACTAGAGCCTATGCCTCTCTCCTTCCCCAGAACCCTGTTCTCTCAGACATCCACACCATCTTCTGCCTCCATGATTCAGTGCTGAAAGAAATGCAAAACACTTCAAGTATACATAGTTGGCCTTCAGTTGCTATACAGATATGATAGATTCCTTAAGGGACCCTACCTGCGAGTTGGTTCCTGGCACAAAATTCATAAGCTTCTCAGATGGATGCTCCTCCAAACTTTGATCTCATGAAAATCATGTGAAGAATTTTGCAGCTTTCAAGTTTGTTGTTATCTCGGGCATAACTATGTAAAACTTATTGGCTTAAACACTACAGTACCTGTTAGTCAGTAGAGCTACCAATAGCTCTGTTCATCAGTTCTAAATGTCCTTGGCCTTATCATCAGTAACTGAAAGCTTCCTTGACTTTTCCTAAGTATCTCAGTACTGTTAGTCTAGTAATGATCCAGATCATCTATTCATTGAATCAGCAGTCTAGAAACTTGTATAGGCTATTTTGTATTTCCTGGTCTCTTTGACAAGCGTTTATTAAGAATCTGCTCTAAGCTAGGCACTTTTCTATACAGTGTCACCAAAAGACAGATGCATCAGTCTTGATGAGCTAGGTTATGCTACAGTGACAGACAACTCTCAGTCTCTGTGGGTTGAAACATAAGGTTTGTCCTCTGTGCTGCATTTTCCTCATGGGTCATCTGAGATTCTCATCCAGCACCCAGGATAATGAATAGCTGCTAGGTAGCTTCTGGGTGTTGCCAGCCATGTGGCGGAAGGAAAGAGCACATGTGATAAAGGGGACAAGAAATGCAAACTACCATGTAGCAGGATGCGAAGAACCAGTGTGGCAGTAATGAGCACAGCAGACAGAAGCGCTACCCTTAAGAGAACTTATACTGTAGTAAGAGGAGCCAGAACATCAAGAATAAAAGAAATGAGCAGGATGTTAGATTGATGGGCTAGATAGAAATAAATAAGCTGATGAGATGGAAAGTAAACTTATGCTGGGAAAGATGCTGATTTCAATAGAGTGATCTGGGAGTGGACTTACTGAGAAAGTGACATTTAAATTGAACTCTAAAGGGGAAAGTGTTAGTTGCTCAGTCGTGCCCAACTCGTTGTGACCCCAGGGACGGTAGCCCACCAGGCTCCTCTTTCCGTGGGATTTCCCAGGCCAGAATACTGGAGTGGGTAGTCATTCCCTTCTTTAAAGGTCCTTCCTAACCTGGGGATCAAACCTGGGTCTCCTCCATTGCAGGCAGATTCTTTACTATCTGAACTGCCAGGAAAAGGCTTCCCCAGTAGCTCAGCAGTAAAGAATGCAGGAGACTGGTTCCATTCCTGGGCTGGGAAAACCCCCTGGAGGAGCAAATGGCAACCCCCTCAGTATTCTTGTCTGGGAAGTCCCATGGACAGAGGAACCTGGTGGGCTGCAGTCCAGTTCAGTTCCTATGATGGGCTGCAGTCCATAGGATTGCAAATAGTTAGACACAGCTGAGCACACACACTAATGGTGAAAAGAAGCCCAAACAGAAAGAGCTTAAGGCAAGTGTCCCAGTCCGAAGAAACAGCAAAGGCCATGAGGTGGAAAAGAGTTGTGGTGTTGGAGGAACAGAAAGAAGGCCGGATGGCCTGGGGCTCATTAATGTTTAGGAGTGCTGGGGAGAAGGAGAAGAGGGACAGAGCCAGGTCACGCAGAGCCTTGATGGCCATGGAACAGTTGTGGGATTGGAATCCACTGTATTAGAAACAACTGAAGACTTTTAGGTCAGGCAGTGACATAACCTGATTTAAATTTTTATAGGATCACCCTACAGAAACAATATGTAGTTCAAAACAAGAGTATCTCTAGAGCACATTCTCCACCCACATGGAAACAGGAGCTTTGAGGGATGCACAGGTAGATGGAGTTCTGTCCCAGGATCTTGCTTACGGACTGGAGAGGTGGAGAACCTGAATGTTTTCTTTAAACCTTGTGATGAAATCGCTATTTAACATTAGTTCGTGGTTGGAACATGAAGCAACTATGTGCATGTGCATATGTGCATGAATCTCGTGAAAATTACAAATCCATACCCCGATTTTTATATGAGGAAAAAAAAGAAACCCTGACCAGAGTATAATGGGAAGCACCCACTTACTGACCTGAGGCTGTCCTCTGCGGTAACCTCTGACTACAAATGCTCTTGTCTGCCTCCTGGGACTTTTTCCCTTTAGGAACACAACTTATTCTCAACAACCCTGACCGTTTTCTTGAACTCACTGCTGCCTGTGTAATTTACATCCCACAGGCATTTCTCAGCCTTTTATTGAAAACTGGTTGTTAAAATGTAAATCTGCCTAAATCCTTGGACAAATCTCTTCCAGTGATAAAAGTAAAGATTTTCTGCATACTCAAGCTGAAGCCTCAATTTACATATTTGGAATTAAAATCAAAATTAGGCTATTTTCAGTAAGACTGGGAAGAATGAGGATGGAGTTGTCATTTTAAAAGAGGAATGTTTTATGTTTCTTAAATATTTGGTAGTTGAGCTAAAATGGCTTGGTTTATTCCGATGGACAGTGTTTAGATGACACAGCTAAAGAGGATCAGTTCAGTTCAGTCACCCAGTCATGTCCGACTCTTTGCGACCACATGGACTGCAGCACACCAGGCTTTGCTGTTCATCACCAGCTCCCAGAGTTTGCTCACTCATGTCCATTGAGTCAGTGATGCTATCCAACCATCTCATCCTCTGTCATCCCCTCCTCTTCCTGCCTTCACTTTTTCCCAGCATCAGAGTATTTTCTAATGAGTCAGTACTTTACATCAGGTGGCCAAAGTATTGGAGTTTCAGCTTCAGCAAGAGTCCTTCCAATGAATACTCAGGGTTGATTTCCTTTAGGATGGACTGGTTTGATCTCCTTGCAGTCCAAGGGACTCTCTCTCCCTCTCCTTGCTGTCCAAGGGACTCTCAAGAGTCTTCTCCAAAACCACAATTCAAAAGCATTAATTCTTCAGTGCTCAACCTTCTTTATGGTCCAACTCTCACATCCATACATGACTACTGTAAAAACCATAGCTTTGACTAGATGGACCTTTGTCAGCAAAGTAATGTGTCTGCTTTTTAATAGGCTGTCTAGGTTTGTTATAGTTTTTCTTCCAAGAAGCAAGCATTTTTTCATTTCATGGTTATAGTCACCATCTGCGGTGATTTTGGAGCTCAAGAAAAAGAGGCCCAGTGATTGATAAAAAATAGATAGATAGAGATACTGGCTGTTTCCCTTTTTTGCATTTCTCCATTCATTCATACTTACCTGAGAGGCATTCCATTGACCTGAAGAATTGGGGACCTCCTCTCTGCAGATCTTGCAGTTAGTTGCCTGCAGGTGTATGTGACAGTCCTGAAAAAGGCAGTGTGGAGAAAGGCAGCAGGCAAAAACCAACTGTAGCAGGGACCACTTGAGCTGTAATTCTCATATTCTCATGTACATCTGAATCCTTTCAGTTCGGTTGAGTTCAGTTGCTCAGTCATGTCCAACTCTTTGTGACACCATGGAGTGCAGCATGCCAGGCCTCCCTGTCAATCACCAACTACGGGAGTTTACTCAAACTCCTGTCCACTGAGTCAGTGGTACCATCCAACCATCTCATCCTCTGTCATCCCCTTTTCCTCCCACCTTCAGTCTTTCCCAGCATGAGGGTCTTTTCAAATGAGTCAGTTCTTCGCATCAGGTGGCCAAAGTATTGAAGTTTCAGCATCAGTCGTTCCAATGAATATTCAGGACTGATCTCCTTTAGGATGGACTGGTTGGATCTCCTTGCAGTCCAAGAGACTCTCGAGTCTTTTCCAACACCACAGTTCAAAAGCATCAATTCTTCAGCACTCAGCTTTCTTTATAGTCCAACTCTCACATCCATACATGACTACCGGAAAATCCGTATTCTTGACTAGATGGGCCTTTGTTGGCAAAGTAATGTCTCTGCTTTTTAATACGCTGTCTAGGTTGGTCATAACTTTTCTTCCAAGGAGCAAATGTCTTTTAATTTCATGGCTCCAGTCACCATCTGCAGTGATTTTTGAGCTCAAAAAAATAAGGTCTGTCACTGTTTCCACTGTTTCCCCATCTATTTGCCATGAAGTATGGGACCAGATGCCATGAAAGTATGAGACCAGATGCCATGATCTTAGTTTTCGGAATGTTGAGTTTTAAGCCAGCTTTTTCACTCTCCTCTTTCACTTGCATCAAGAGGCTTTTTAGTTCTTTGCTTTTCTGCCATAAGGGTGATGTTATCTGCATATCTGAGGTTATTGATATTTCTCCCGGCAATCTTGATTCCGGCTTGTGCTTCATCCAGTCCAGCATTTCTCATGATGTTCTCTGCATATAAGTTAAATAAGCAGGGTGAAAATATACGGCCTTGACGTACTCCTTTTCCTGTATGGAATGAGTCTGTTGTTCCATGTCCAATTCTAACTGTTGCTTCTTGACCTGCATACAGATTTCTTAAGAGGCAAGTCAGGGAGTCTGGTATTCCCATTTCTTTAAAAATTTTCCACAGTTTATTGAGATACACACAGTCAAAGGCTTTGGTGTAGTCAATAAAGCAGAAGTAGATATTTTTCTGTAACTCTCTTGCTTTTTTGATGATCCAATGGTTGTTGACAATTTGATCTCTGGTTCCTCTGCCTTTTATAAATCCAGCTTCAACATCTGGAAGTTCACGGTTCATGTACTGTTGAAGCCTGGCTTTATTTTGCATAATTTTGAGCATTACTTTACTAGCGTGTGAGATGAGTGCAATTGTGTGATAGTTTGAGCATTCTTTGGCATTGCCTTTCTTTGGGATTGGAATGAAAACTGACCTTTTCCAGTCCTGTGGCCACTGCTGAGTTTTCCAAATTTGCTGGCATATTGAATACAGCACTTTCACAGCATCATCTTTCAGGATCTGAAATAGCTCAACTGGAATTCCATCACCTCCACTAGCTTTGTTCGTAATGATGCTTCCTAAGGCCCACTTGACTTCACATTCCAGGATGTCTGGCTCTAGGTGAGTGATCACACCATCGTGATTATCTGGGTTGTGAAGATCTTTTTTGTATAGTTCTTCTGTGTTTTCTTGCCATCTCTCCTTACTATCTTCTGCTTCTGTTAGAATCCTTTAGGAAGCTTTAAAATGCAGATTCTTTTTCAATAGGACTGGGGTGGTATGCTGCATAACAAATTATTCCCAACTGGGTGGCCTAAGGCAACGTCTGTTATCTTCTAGTTTCTGTGAGTCAGGAATTCAGGTTCTGGCACAGCACCTCTCCTGAGGTTGCACACAAAGTAAAAGCCAGAAGTGCGTTCATCTGAAGAACCAACCAGGGCTGGAGGATCTCTTTCCAAGATGCTCACTTATCTGGGTGTTGGCAAGGGGCCAGTTTCTCTCAGCGAACTTGTCCACAGGCTCTTTGTGTATCCTTCCAGGGGGCGAGAGAGAGGGAAGAGAGTGTAGACGCCACTTATGGCCTCATCTCAGAAGCCACCCAGTGTCTCTTCTACCATACTCTGTGTAACAGTGGCAAGGTCTAGCCACTCTGAAAAAGAGGAGAATTAAGCTTTACTTTTTGATGGGAGGAGTGTCAAACAGTTTGTGGAGATGGTTTAAGAAACTTCACAGGTGGAACCGGTTCCCAGATGATGCAGGTGCTGATCCTTGGACCAGACTTTGAGTAGCAGGTGCTCAAGGACCACCAGTGAGATTTTAGTCTAATGATGCCTTATTTTTGGTACCACATCTACTTTCCAGATAGGTCTTCTGAGATAACTATCTAAATTATTTATTCATTCTCACTTGCTCTCTCTCATGTTACAAATATCAACCATATCAAACAAATTAATGTCCACAAGAAAACTATATTTTGAGCAAGCAACAAGGGTTGGAGACTGGAGTTTTGTTAGACACTCCTCACCTTGATTAGAATAAAGATGAGAAAGAGCCTCCCTTCAATTTTCTTCAGGAACTTTGATGTGGTTCTCTCCCTTCTGCAACACATGAGTCTGACTTCCACCCGCTGAAGCTCCAGCTGCCCATGTCTACACCCATACACAACATAGTTCTCCCCACAGAGTTCCTCTTCTTTGAGCTGTTTTTATTCTCTCATCAAACACAATGATTTCTTCTATTTTAAATATAGTAACATTAATTCTCTTGAGATTTCTTTTGCACATTAGACATTATTATTCCTGACATCACCCCTTGTCAGATGTAGTGACAATAATTCCATGTAATATCAATTAACCTTAAAAGGAATTCTTTTAGTTCTATATTTTATCATATTATTTCTTGAAACAATTTTGCTAAACTCTTTGCTATGCAGTACAACACAGAGATTGAGGTATTCTGCTTAGTTAATAATGAGGAAACTAAAAAGATATTATATGAACCATGGATTATTTTTCCAGAAAGATTGAGGGAACATGGCATTGTAGCTCAGATGGTAAAGAATCTGCCTACAATGCAGGAGATCCTGGTTCAATTCCTGGGTTGGGAAGATCCTCTGGAGCAGGAAATGGCAACCCACCCCAGTATTTTGCCTGGAGAATTCCATGGACAGAGGAGCCTGGCAGGTTACAGTCCATGGGGTCGCAAAGAATCAAACACAACTGAATGACTTTCACTACTACTACTACTAGAAAGATTGAGCTATAATAAAATTAATATAACAAATACAAATTTACTAGACATAATTTATGTGAATATTCAGCTAGCACTTCAGTATCCCCGGTCATAATTTTGAATATACAGTGCCAGTCTTAGGAACAGTTATGGAATAGGCAATTAGATAGATGCCAAGAAAGCCCTCTGCCCTTCCCATCAAATAGAATATATATATTTTTAATTATTTGCTAATGATATTTATATTATATGTGTGTATATATATATATATATATATATATATATATTCTGTTGACTCCTACTGTTTCATCATTAGCAGTTTTTTCCTTTGCATTCAACATTACCCTTCCCCTGTGTCCTCTTTTAAAATAAAAAATGTTCCTGGGAGAGGCAGGAGGAATCACACATGAAGTATCTTAAACTTTCATGTGTATTCCCTAAGTCACACTTCTCTGGTGATCAGCAGAGGGAGATATGGGGCAGAAGAGAAACATGAAGGGGAGAAGGTGAAACGAGAGAGGAAGGTCAGAGTAACGTCAGAGGGGAGTGAGTTCTTCTGCTTTGCTATGTAGTAATTTGTCTTTATTCAGTCTTCATTGACCAAGGTCTGACAGAGTATGAAGTGCCTGTAAAAGTATCCTTCTGCTTAAGAGAATTTCAGATTGACCTGTGCTTCCTATCTGGTGCATCAGCGGCAAAGAGCCCTCCTTGATTTTGTGCTGGGAGATTGAGATAGTCCTTCTGAGTATATAATAATGATATGAGACTTTGTACTGTTCAGGACAGAATCTAAAATTCAAATACATAATCTGAAGTGCATTTTTATGTCCCCCTTACCAACCTCCTCATTGCTCATACAAAGCTGAATGGTCTTTAAAAGAGCTTATGTATTTTTCCCCCATTTCCTAGGAGTTGGTGCATCAGAAACTGTCAAGAAATTGATGAGCCTTCAGGTCTACTAATTCATTGCTTGGAAGTTAGACAAATGTGCCCTCATTCTATGAGATGCAATTTGAAGTTTCTAGTACAGTCTTGCCACTTAAAATAATACTGTTTCTTGCCTTTTTTGCCTCTAGGAAAGCTGTCCAAGTAACTGGATTTATGTCTTTTAACACAGGGCTTGTTGTTCAGTATTCAAATGACAATGGGATACTCTGGCATTTGCTTCGAGAGTTGGACTTCATGTCATTTCTGGAACCACAGATCATTTCCATCGACCTTCCACGAGAGGCAAAGACACCTGCTACAGCTTTTCGATGGTGGCAGCCCCAACATGGCAAGTTACTGCTCACCCTGACTTTCCTGGTAGCATTTAGGTCATCCAGTTAAAGCCACTTTGTATTGTGTGTTTTTTAATTTGCTGTCAGTTTCTAGATAATTTGATTTAAAACTGCAGTCATAAAGATATTCATATTGCTGTATAATGAACCTCCTGTAACTGCTTTTATTCATCTGATTTCAGGGAAGCATTCAGCCCAGTGGGCCTTGGATGATGTCCTTATAGGAATGAATGACAGCTCTCAAACTGGGTTTCAGGATAAATTTGATGGATCTTTAGATCTGCAAGCCAACTGGTATCGAATCCAAGGAGGTCAAGTTGATATTGACTGTCTCTCTATGGATACTGCTCTGATATTCACTGAAAACATAGGTATACATTTTCACTTGATAGGGGAGAATATTTAATTAACTAGAGGACTAAATTAACTAAAGCCCAAGAGGAGATTCTCTAATGCCAAACCATGTGCATAACTGCCTGTGCTGAGGGAGGCAGTTAGAAATAACAAGTTGTTTTATCTTCTAGTGTGACTTGGTGAACCCAATGACAGTTTTTGCAGGGACTGTCTTTCATGTCATGTATAATATGACCAATGTTTCTTAAAAGTGAGACAAAATATCTGTCTGAGAGCATTCCTGTGTTTTATAATTTGCAGAATTAGAATTTGCAGACTCTCTGTTAGCCTGTCTCAAGGTGGTAGGGCTTTTCAAGTTAGCAGCCATCCATATTTCTGAGTCTGTGCTAACTAGATAAAAACAGTCAGTGTGAGATGAAAAGTCAAAGCGCATGTGAGACACTATAGATAAGATATGATTTTTGTTTACTACTGAAAGCATGACAAGCAGAAACACCAAATAAGAGAGAGCACAATTATGTGCCACCATTAAACTGTTCCTTCTTCGTAGGAAAACCTCGTTACGCTGAGACCTGGGACTTCCATGTGTCAGCATCAACTTTCTTGCAGTTTGAAATGAGCATGGGCTGTAGCAAGCCCTTCAGCAACTCCCACAGTGTACAGCTCCAGTATTCTCTGAACAATGGCAGGGACTGGCATCTTGTCACCGAAGAATGTGTTCCTCCAACCATTGGCTGTCTGCACTACACAGAAAGTTCAATTTACACCTCCGAGAGATTCCAGAATTGGAAGCGGATCACTGTCTACCTTCCACTCTCCACCATGTGAGAATTGTCATTTGGCTACATGTCAGAACTTCAGGTTTCTGTCACCTAATTGGAAAATAATTGTGATGCCACTTGGAAAGTCTATTACTCTTTCATGAGAATTATGCATGGAACATACCAGTGGGGAGAGAAAGTTCTAGGTGGTTGGGTAATAACTTTTAAATATGGTTAGAAGTTCCAGGAGTTTTATGAGGGTGAACTTTTTTGCTTCTTCAGCAACCTGAAGGCTGCCCAACAGATTCAGGTTTTAAATTGTTGTAAAAATAAACATCTACCCAATAACCAGAGTGATACTTAGCCACATGAAGCAGTTTGTAAAATCATTAGATGTAGAAGAGTGTCCTTTAGTTGTTGTTGGCTTTTCTATTTTAATCTCCACACCACAATAAGAGTAAAAGGTTCAGTCTTTTGAAATGCTCATATCATTTTACATCTTTCTTCCCCTCCGCAGGATCTCAGATTACATTCAGCCCTACCTTATGTTAGGGCTTACAGCAGGTTCCCACTTCTGTGGTTTAGGTGTTGGATAGTGAAGGATCTTTCTAGGAACTAATGTTACTGTGGTGGGTGAGAGAGTTTGTGCCATGCTGGGTCTGCTCTCCCCAGATCCCTACATCTTCCTTCCACTGCCCTGCTCTGAATTGTAGGCACATTGGCCTCTGCAAGCTGCATTTGCCAGCTGCATGTGTTTTCTGGCTTCCTGGTAGGTTTAGGGAGTAACAGATAATGGCAAGAAAGTGGAAGGTGGAAACAAAGTTAAACCAGGGTATTCCTCCCCCTCCCTCTCTATCTCAAGTACATCTTGGCCAAGTTCAGCAGCTCCAGCTCCACCACCGTGTCCCTCCAGGTGACACTGGCCCCTGGCACTAGCAGCATCTCCTCCTGTATCTCTCCATCTTTGGACTTGCAGTGGCGTCCTGACTTTCCTAAACTCTTATTTCCTCACTGATGCTGCCACTCACTATGCATCCAGTACTTTGTAAATTCTCTCTGTTAAACACTTACAGTGGTTTCCATTTTCCTGGTTCCATTTTGATTCAGAGATGCGCAAACAAGTGGCAGGAAAAAAAAACACCGGAAATCAATGTGTTTTAGTATTTAACCTAAAACAGTTTCCTGTGGACCCCAGAGCTTTAAAGAATGCTCACTTGTAGCTCATTTATTCACTCTAATTTTATTCAACAAACATTCATTGAATATCTCTGCCTGCAATGCAAGAGACACCAGAGACATGGGTTCAATCCCTGGGTCGAGAAGATCCTCTGGAGAAGGAAATGGCAACCCACTCCAGTATTCTTGCTTGGAAAATCCCATGGACAGAGGACCCTGGCAGGCTACAGTCCATGGAGCCGCAAAAGAGTCAGACACAGCTTAGCTACTAAACAACATTATGTGTTAGATCTCTGGTACAAAATGAATAAGATGATGCCTGGATCCAAATATATGATTTAGGATAACAGATATTTATGCTATAAAATGCTAACAGTGACAAAACCCAGCGATATTATTGAAACAAAGGGGGATACTACCCAACTCAGTTTGGGGAGATCAAATGGAGCTTTCTGCAAGAACTGATGTCTGAGTTGAGTCTGAATTAGTGAATAGAGCTTATCTGAGTGAAGAGAGCTTGTGGGAGGTCATGTGTGCTGTTGTAAGCCAAAAAAAATCCCAGAGACCAGAAGAAATATGAGTTGATGGGAAAACTCAAGGACTCGATGCTATTAGAGTACAATTGTGAAGAAATAGGCAAAGATGAGGCAAGAGAAGAGGGCAGATGATGAAGGGGGCATGTATTTCATATTAGCAGTTTGGCATGTGCAGGGGAAGCATTTAAAGTGTGTTAAACTGAGTGGTGACATGATTAGATTTCCGTTTCAGAGCCACCACGCTGGCAGCTGTGTTGCATTGAAGGAGGACTTGTGTGGGGAAAACAATAGCACTTGAAATGTTACTATTGAAATTCCACTTCAAGTCAACTGTGTTTTACATTCCAAATAACTAACACATTTCTGCTGTGCAATCTGTTCCTAAATGAGAGACTGCTACTGCTGTTTGGTAAGGCTGTACATATTTCTGAATAAAGTGGTCTTCTGACAGTATATCCCGGTTAACAGATTGCAGATATAATAAAAAAAATTGGGGTGCATCATATCATTCTAGTCCTCACCTTTACGGGAACCAGGCCCTCAGGAACCAAAATAGAGGCAGAAGTTGGATAAGGCTTCCATTTACTACCTCAGAAACCTTAGGGACAGTAGGACAGAGACCTCATGGCAAGAACTTTGTAAGATTCCAACTTATCCTCATGTTTATCATCCTTAGTCTCTTTTCCAGTACTGAAAAGTTGTAAAAGCCTGAAAGCAAAAACTAACATTCTGCATAGAGTTAAAACACAGAATAATTTGATAGTTCAAACTAACTTTTCCAAGTCACATGTGTTCAGAGGCTCTTATATGAAAGAAATGGTGAAATATTTTTAAAGTATGTTTTCTACTCTCCTGTTTCTGGGTCAAGAGTAAACAACATCCAAAATTTGGTACAAACAAAGTGTGTCGAATAAGAGAAAACTGGAACCCTGAGGAAGACACTTTTAAAATGAAAGAATTAATTGTTTTGTTTTTGAAGGTCACCACTCAAACCAGGTACGATTTGTTTGCTTTCTATTTTGTTTTGTTTTTCTTAGATCTCCCAGAACCCGGTTCAGATGGATCCAGGCCAACTATACTGTGGGGGCTGACTCCTGGGCTATTGATAATGTCGTGCTGGCTTCAGGGTGTCCTTGGATGTGCTCAGGACGAGGGATTTGTGATGCTGGACGCTGTGTGTAAGTTAATGAAATTGGCAGTTTCTTTCTTTGTAATGCACAAAGAAAGATAATATCTTGATCTCATGACGTATAATGCCTTTTCTTCACTCATTTTTTTCCTTAGGTGTGACCGGGGCTTTGGTGGAGCCTACTGTGTTCCTATCATTCCTCTACCCTCCATTCTTAAAGATGATTTCAATGGGAACTTACATCCCGACCTTTGGCCTGAAGTGTATGGTGCAGAGAGGGGGAATCTGAATGGTGAAACCATCAAGTCTGGAACATCACTCATTTTTAAAGGGGTCAGATAAGATTCTTCCCTAGCACTGAAATCCCTGTCTTTTCTCAATGCTCCACACTGATGCATTTCTGTTCAGATGATATATTATTGTATACACTGTTACTGTCTTCTAACACATATCATGTTTCCTCTTACATTCACTGAGATCATTTTTTATGATCACTTAGGCATTAAACTCCTCCCTTGCTTTGGTAATCAGACCTTCCTTACATTCTGCTGGAATTACATATGTAAAAATGATATATACACTATTTCTAGAATCTTGACTTCTAGAATGTAACATTTTGTGTGTTTTCAGATATTTAACTTGAAATATTTTTCTAAATGACTTTATGGAAGATCTTTGCTTTTTCCTTCCATTTTCTTTCTTTTCCTCCTGCCAATATAACCGTTTGGTGACTCTAAGAAAACCAAACATTTAAGTCAAGTTAAATCATTAGTATATTTTTTGTATTTCAACCTAAATGTTGGTTAGAGGGTTATTAAGCAATTATGTGAAACTGTGCTGAGCTGGCACATCTTTGTATGTGAATACGTGCCACATCCTGCCCCTCTCAGCTGGGGCAGTTGGCTAATCTAGGTGTGCAAATGAAATCTTTAACAAAAATCCGCATGGGTCTCTGTACAACCTTAATGATTAACACCTAACACTTAGAAAATTAGAAACCCTGGAACTTTTTCAATTATAGTTAATAGATGCTGACTATCATTCTTGTTTGAGTCCAGAATTCTTCTCAAGTTTTTAGATGAGATAGAAAAACACTTTAGGGGTCAGGGAGATTTATAAGTCCCTGAGAACGGTAAGTGACTGAAGAAATTGAGGTAGGACATTTCAGGGTAGAGACTGCTGTTTTGATTGTGTGCATTTTAATTCTTGTCTGAGGCTTTAGCTCTTATTACCACTATCTATTTGAAGCAACTGACAAGACCACAAAAGGTAAATCCTGTGGTTCAAATATCTTTACCTGATAAAATTTTAAGCAGTAAATTAACCTGGTTTCTAGATCCTATGAACAAGGGAAACATAGAGTCTTTTATATTAGGATTAAGTATTTTCTCTTTAAAAAAAAGTATTTTCTCTTTAGCCATCCAAATGCAAGGGCAGCCAAGCATTATATGTGTTGGACATATACTATCTATCAGCCCTGCAGGATGCAAAGAAGGCTCAAAAATGCCATTCAGTAGGTTGTAGTTTGACCTAGAAAGGCATTCTTTTGTGAAAAAGGAAATGATAGTTTCTTTTCAATGTTTATAGATTCAGGAGTGCTATCTGCTATTAAAATAGCTTTGCATTTAGCACAAATGGATTACTGAACCTGGAAGAGGATCAGAAAAGAAGCATCTGTATGAGCTAGAATATATGTAGAAGCAGGGCAATACAGTTCCATTGGGCAATATTCCATATCAAGTACTTAACTGTAAATAAAATTTAAAATGTGAAAGAAAGATGCTTTCATATTTCAGATCATGCTGACTTTCAACAAAATTGCTCCTACAAGATACACTATGAAATGTGTCCTTTAATGCCTGACTTATATTGGCCCATGGGAGCAAGTTTATACTCACATTCTATAATCAAGGGTGAAGAGTAATCATATTCCTTTATCTTGATGTTGTCAAGGGATATTTATGAACTGGATCTGTTAACTACCCACCTCAAAACTTTTTCATTGTGAGGTGAAGTGACCTTTTCCCATGACCTTAACCTCTATATGGAGCCAAGCTATGAAAACATCCAAGGCCTTAAGCTGATAAGTGTATGAGGAAAAGGGTAAAGACATCAAGACATGAAGGATAGGCAGTGACCAAGCATTGTGGACTAAGCAGGGCAGAAAAAAGAAAAATAAGACTGGGAATATAAGGCTTTTATACAACCACCTTCAATCCTGGAAGTTTTAATCTATGCTTTGTATAAATGTAGTTGCTTTTTCATTATGATATCAAATAATTCTCAAATTCTAAATTTAGCATTATCTAGATATCTCTCCCCAAACCAAAAGATGATTTAATAAACAAAACACTGATATTTTATAAAGGATGGAGGATAGGTTTCAGAATCTGACATATCTGGATTTGAATTCTACTATCATCACTTTTGCAATCTTGAGCAAGTTACTGACCTTCTCAGATTTTCTGTTTCCTTATGTGCAACAGGAAGAATATGTTTCACTTATGAGTGATAGGTGTTTTAAAAGAGTAAAGTGGTTCTTTTAGAACCCAGCGTGTTGTGGGCACTCAATATGTGGTTGCTCTATAACAGAGAAGCCCATTACAAAATTAGTCTTATTAAAATTTTTCAGCTATTAAAGAATGTATTATAAAATAAATATTAAGAAGAGGAAGAATTTGCTTCCTCTACATTACATTCCACTTGGTATCTGTTAGCTGATAATTAAGAAGCCAGTAGACAGTTCAGTGTCCACTCAGTATCGGCCAGCCCTACACCACCAAACAGCCACTTCATTCAGAGTCATACTTGAGAAACTGAAAGGCCTGTTAGTACCTAGGACATTTCCATAGCGAAATTCTATTTTACTGGGCTGTCACTGCAATCCTGCATACATGGAGAAAACAAGCTGTGGAGCTGTCAATCCCAGGCAACCAGAAATAGTTAATTAGCAGAAAAATTACTAAAGCCAGTGTGATCACTTTCCGCCTTCCTTGGCTTCTCTGCATGAGCGCTTCCAGCCTGGGCTTAGGGACTTGCTTAGTTACGCCTTATTTAACTTGACCAACTGGAGGGTGTTGTGTCAGCCTGAATGAGAGCCTCCCGGGGCTGTCAGAGCACGCAAAGGAGTAAGTTCCTAAGACTCTTTGGAACCCTGAAAAAGTTACCTATTAGCTTCTAGCTTCCAGCAGGAGCTGGCACATTTTCCGTCTGTTTCCTCTTTACTCCTCTCACAACATGCTGTGATCAAAGGAGGCTGTTTTTTAAAAATGTTTATAGATATACAATAGTATCATTTTTGCACTGCTTTCTATAAAAGTCACAGCAAAGTGTGACTTAGAGTTGAGCCAATGAAATGTTATTCAAGCGTAGCGAATGAAAGCCATTAAAAGGGGAAATGATCAATTTTTCCTTCCAAACTGGACCAAGTATTGTCTCTTGATCATTATGCATCTATTATTTAGCTAATATAAGTTAGATGTATAAAATCAAAGGAAAATACTCTCACAAATAAAGTAAGATTGCTTAACATGTATGTTTTTTTGTTTGCAGGAAGGACTACGGATGCTCATTTCAAGAGATCTAGACTGTACCAACACGATGTATGTCCAGTTCTCACTTCGATTTTTAGCAAAAGGTAAGTCATTTCTATGGGTATGAATTCACTATTTCTCTTCAAGCAAATTTCCCATGTATGATTCCTCCTCCACAAAGAAATAACAGATTTTAGGCCATAAATTTTGTTATATGGGAGAACTAACATAAATTTGAGTGCATAAGTGTGTTCACAAATGTTCTTCTATAATATATATTCATTTTAATGTCGGGGTAAGATTACTACTTATTTTATAATGATTTCATACAGAAATAGTAATCATACTAGTCCTCTGCTGGTTAAATTTATCATCACATCCCTGAATCTTTTTTTCACCACTTATGTCTAGCTGAAAGAAATTTAAATTTAAAAAACTTAGCTTTTGGAAACTTGGGGTTTTCTTTCACAGATGTAAACCCCTAAAGCCAACTCTGTCATTCTGACCTTTCATATTAACTAAATAATTTTCCTGACAAATAATGTCATTTGGATATAAGGAATTTTCAAGTAGATTTTTGATAATATCTTGAGATGTAAATGTTTGACCCTTTGTAGAGCTGTGAAGCCTATAGAATAAAAAATTTTTAATATTTCCTAAATGAAATATAGAAAAATATGTGTTCATATTGAGAAAAAGAGGGAGATAGTACTGTGTGAAAAATCCAATATCTGGTGTGTGTTTTGAGATATATTTATCCAGAAATTGCAACCCATCATCACTTCAGCTTGCCTCAGAAGCATTTGGACTGTAAAGCATCTGTGTGAATGCAAGTCAGGTTATAAATTGATGCAAAAAAAAAATAGTCTAAGATTGTACAGTAGTCCCATTTTTATCACAATGTGTTTATGCCTGTGTTTTCTTCTTTCTAGGTACCCCAGAGAGGTCCCATTCTATTCTATTGCAATTCTCCATCAATGGTGGAATCACCTGGCACTTGATGGATGAATTTTACTTCCCTCAAACTACCAACATACTTTTCATTAATGTTCCCTTGCCATACACTGCCCAAACCAACGCTACAAGATTCAGACTCTGGCAACCTTATAATAATGGTAAAAATGCTTAAGTTCTCCTATTATCAAAACTGACTGTGGCATGTTAACATGCTTTTGCCTAAGGTGTGGAGGAAGTGTTCATCAGCTAAGTGACTTTGCTGTCGATAGCACATTTTGCATGCTCCACTTTTGAGGAGTTTCAAGGAATATCTAGCTTTGATCTCTACCTTCATACTTGACTATATATTATCTTCGTGTTTGACTCCTATACAAATATAGCTAAACCCTGTCATAGAGCTATGCTTTTTAAAAAATAATCCAGCTCTACCATTAGGTACTCATCAGTTGTAACTACATTTTTTACTGAATTCGTTTAGGAATACATAGTTCTGAGTGCAGCACTTCGTTAATGAGACAGAACAACGTTAGAGCAAAATGCCGTGACAAAGAGGGACCGACACAAGCAGATAGTGCCTGAGATAAAATATTCTGTCATATACACTTGACTCAGTGATAAGTTAAAGTGAATGTATAATTTAACAGCATTTTCAGATGGTTATAGAAAACAATTTTACAGATTTGTAATGTTTTATTACTTACTGTATTTCTGTTAACTGCTTTTTATAAAGGACCAGACTCTACCAAATTGTATCTTTAATGGCCTAGGTAAGCACAGAGATATCATATTAAGCGAATTCTTTGCAAAGGTAACACAAGAGCGGATAAGAAAAATGTACTTCCATCTCTAAAACTTAACCTGAGTGTTTCCTTTATAACCAGCAAGTCAAAAAATAAAATAATTGTAACTTATTGTGAACAGAAAAAATAATCTTGTATAATCGCTGAGTCCAAAAATGCAGCCAGTTTTACAATCCAGAGGATAGTTGTCTTCATATTATGTTTGGAATGCTTACCAATTTTTCTTCATTTCTTTCACCAACTGCTTCCAAAACAAGAAAAGGGAAGAAAGCTACTAGGATTAGAACAGTGACAGGATTAGAGAGGGAAAGGCACATGTGACTTCATTTAAATCGTCAGGTTGTTTCTATAGGCTTCTATTTATAGATCCTTTTATATATTTTATAAGAATTCTACTAAAAGTAGGAATCAGTGAAGAAGCAACCTTGGGTAACCTTGTTGTTTCTGCTTGCCGTGGTCTTACCATCTCGTTTCCAGTTCAATCCAAGCAGTGTTTTGCAAAAGCACTGGGCTTGCCCATCTTATCTTCTCAGTAATATCTTCCTTGGGCTTCTCAGGTGGCTCAGTGGTAAAGAATCTGCCTGCAGTGCAGGAGACCCGGGTTTGATCCCTGGGTTGGGAAGATCCTCTGGAGAAGGAATTGGCAACCAATTCCAGTATTTTTGCTTGGAAAATCCCATGGATAGAGGAGCCTGGTGAGGCTACAGTCCATGGGGTCACAAAAGAGTTGGACACGACTTAGCAATAAAACAGCAAATATCTTACTTAAGCACTCTACCTGAGTTGCTGAATCAAATTCTATGACAGCCTAAAGAGTGATTTTCCTCATTTTTTGTATGCTCACATATAGCTCCAACTAAACATACATGTTTTGTAAAAAATTAAGGGAAAAATAAAGTAACATATAACAGAATGTTTTCTTCTGTGTAGTTTTTAACAATGAAATAAAGCTGCACAAGAAGCCGGTGTTGTAATGGCCGTGGTCCTTAAGCCTAAAGGAAACATGATTCTGAATCATGAGTTGACTCTAAAATATCCTGAGTTGCTCCATAAATACACTAGTTAGTGTAACTCATTTCTAAATCCACAGGCTGACCATCCATCCTCATATATTCAGACATGTTACAGATTCTCCTAAACCATGAAAGCATAACTCAAAGCCCACTGTTGCTGCTGGAGGGTCCATGGTACCATAGCACGGCTGTGACGGGAAGGGAAGCAAACTCTTAGCAGTCTTCTGAAATTAGTGAGGCTCTTTCATGCGGTGTCAACTTAAAAGGGTTGAAAGCGTACTTTTTTCCACGCTTTAGTCTGGTAACACAGTATTGTGCAGTTTGTGCTTCTTTGTCTAGAAGGCATACGTTTAAACCAATAGTTACTGAGTTCCTTCTGTACTTTCTTCCTTTGAGCAAAAATGTTCATCCAGTTTCCACCTTTGAAAAACTTGCTTTATCCAAAAATGCCATAGGTAAGAAAGAAGAAATCTGGATTGTTGATGACTTCATCATTGATGGAAATAATTTAAACAACCCTGTGATGCTTCTGGATACTTTTGATTTTGGGCCCAGAGAAGACAATTGGTTTTTCTATCCCGGTGGTAACATTGGTCTTTATTGCCCATATTCTTCCAAAGGAGCACCGTAAGTATTTAATTGGAAAGTTAAAAATAAAGCCACTGCTCTATAGAGATCACAGTGAGCTTTTGCCTAAATGGATTCCTTGTTTTCTTGTATAACAGTGAGGAAGATTCAGCTATGGTGTTTGTTTCCAATGAAGTTGGTGAGCATTCCATTACTACTCGTGACCTGAATGTGAATGAGAACACCATCATACAATTTGAGGTACTTGACTTTGTTCTATTAGTAATGCTTTAAATTTTATCTTGAACAAAAGCTAGGAACGAGGAGGAAAATCTCAGATGATTTCATGCATTATGACTTTCCATTTTTGTGCAAGGACAAAAGAGGTTTTACATCATAATTCATTTTTATTAGCAGAATGTATTGTCCTACCAAAGTGTATTTCTGAATTTTTAGTCCTTTATTTATGACATAATTTCCTCACCTACTACAATGAGAAATTGTCAAAATAAATTATTTCAAACATTATAAAAATGAAAAGGACTATGCTATTCTAGTGCTATTTTCACAATGTTTATGTGTTACTTAAGACCCTGGTTAGTGTGATTATAGTCTATACCAGGCCAGCACTTTTGTTTAATATTTATCATGATGTCATGAATTTTACAGATAAAATAATGCTTACTATTTTTTTTAATTTCTGTATATTTCATTACTCTTCATGGACTCCTTATATTTTTCAAGACAGAAATTAAAAATGTATGGAAGAAAAACTTTTATATATTTTAAAAACTTAGATAAAATCAGTAAAACCAAAGATACATTGTGCTAAGGTTCAATAGTCTTAACTTCTGAAGATACTTGTTTCATGATTGAAACCTATACTAATCATTGGACAGGCTTAAATTAGTGCCTAATTGTGTCAACAAAATTTTTAATATTTGCTATAGATTAATTGTATCCTCTAAGTTAGAGTTGTTTCTTTCATCTTAAATGTTAATATAAAGTAATACCTGTGGCCCTTTCAAGAGTTCTGTTATCAAAAGAATCTAGGTAGAAACAAATGCCTGTAGTTGAAAAGTTTACTCATCAGAATAGTTTACCCATCAAAAGAAAAGAGGAGTAACTTCAACAACAACAAAAATTATAGAAATATATCCAGTTGCTATGACAGCAAGAAAATGTTAATCCCAATTGGAAGAGGGAAGTTTTTTTCATGAAAAGAATCACATGCATTTGTTTAAGTTTTAGTTTAATTCACTTGAAAGCATTAAAAAGGAAAGAAGTGACTGTGTCCCTAATGTTAAAAAGTCCTTTCTGAGAATGTTCTCAGTATGCCAGGGAAATGGTGACAACAATTTTATTTCATTCTGTTTTAATATTGAAAAACACATACTGAAGATTCTCCATGTGCAAAACTTGGGATTGTTTGAAGGTGTCACAAGATGAAAAATAGAAGGTCTTCCCATACAGCAGTCTGAAAAAAAGCTAATGGTTAAAATTAGAGAAACAATCTTTTCACTACAGTTTGTATGGCTTGGCAATGAATGTGGGCTAAAGGTAAATTTTGGAATTCCATGCCAGTCTCTGCCTTATTCACTTCCTAGCTTTTTATAAAAATGAAGAAAAATAAATTTTTCATGAGGCCTTTTGAGGTTCTTTATGAAAAAGTATTATTTAAAGGTAATATGCAATATTACTCAGGCAAAACAGAATTTCATGCTGTTAAATATTTCAGCAAGACAGTTCCCAGGAAAATGGACCCTCGAGAAAATAATGAAGTGGTGAATCATTTCAAGGCTTGCTGCTCTGAGGTAATTTGTATCATTTTTTTCTTCTTCATCAAGATCAATGTCGGATGCTCAACTGATAGCTCCTCTGCTGATCCGGTCAGACTGGAATTTTCCAGGGACTTCGGGGCAACCTGGCACCTGCTGCTCCCCCTCTGCTACCACAGCAGCGGCCACGTCAGCTCCCTGTGCTCCACTGAGCACCACCCGGGCAGCACCTACTATGCGGGGACCACCCAGGGCTGGAGGAGGGAGGTTGTGCACTTCGGGAAGCTGCACCTTTGTGGGTAAGGACCTGCTGCTTCCAGTCGGGTTTTTCTCATTTCACAGTTTTCTTCATGATGTCATGGTTGACTTGCCACTTTATCAGGGAAATGTCTACCTTACATTTCTTCCTCAGTTCTCCACTGAAAGCAGATCAGTGGGTGTTTAAAACATAGGACACTGAGCTGACATACTACTAATTCATGGTTTGAGTGTGTGTGCGTGCTCAGTTCTGTCCAGCTGTTTGCGACTGCATGGACTGTAGCCCTCCAGACTCCTCTGTCCATAGAATTTTCTGGGCAAGAATACTGGGGTGGGTTCCCGTTTCCTACTCCAGGGGTCCTCCCAACCCAGGGATCAAACCCATGTCCCCTGTATCTCTTGCATTGGCAGGCGGATTCTTTTACCACTGAGCCTCCTGGGAAGCTAAAGAACATTTGGCTTGAAGATAGATTTAAAAGAGCACACCATGGGCAGCACCCTGTGCTGGGGTTCATATCTACATGGGTCTTTATTAGATCAATTAATAAGCAACAGAAATATAGTTTTCCCTCAGAGTTATAATCTGTCCCCCACCTCACAATTTAAATGCAGTTAGAAGTTTTACTTTCAAATATCCACTTATATCTTTTGTGCAAGGAGAAGGCACATGTGGAGGGTTGAAGCCTGCAGAATATTCCAGGTATTTCATGAATATATATATATATATATATATATATATATATATATATACACACATAAGCACTCTTCCCCGGGTATTTCTATTTTTGCAACCTTTCTCAGTATTCTTGTTACATATATGTGACTCTTCCATTGAAAAGTTATTTGGAAGTAAAGAACTTCAATTCCAATAAATATGAAGTGAAAAATATAGTTCAAAAAATAAAACTAATAATATAGGTGAGCAAAGAGGAAAAAGTCAACAAAGCAGCCTACTTCAGAATTTGTCTTTTCCCTCAGAATAAACAACTTACTCTTTCAGGGTATTTTAAAAAAAAAGAAAACCACTAATATTATACTTTCAAGATGGGGATAGATTTACATTCCCCATGTGAAACTCAGCATAATTAGAAGTCTCAAGTCTTCAAGTGAAACTACTAATACCTAGTACTTTTCTAAAAGGGTGAAAGTGAATCTTCGAAAGTCTTCATTCTCTTTGAACATAAATCCATTCACTCCTCATGATACCATCAGCAAAATTTTTGTAATTTGATTGCTAAGGACTCTAATATTTTGTACTATTGAGTATATCATTTATTAATTCTTACTGTTACACCAGGATACTGTTCTAATTATTCAAAAATCTAATTGTTTTTTAAAAAGAAGCATTACTAAGTAAAACATCCTCAAGCTTCTTTAGAAGTGATAGTCAAGGAAGCAAGGAGACTCTGAAGACCATAAGAATAGACAGAGCTGATGACTCAGTCAGCAGCACAACCAGAAAGCTACTATTAGGGTGTATGGAGATGGGGTGTGAACCTGTCTATATATGAATTAGCAGGGGGAAATAGCTAAGGAAAAAACTTTCTATACAAAATCAATTGTGTTATTTAGGATTATATTATCATTATATGTTGCAAGAAATATAAAGAGGCTTACCAAAAGCAGTGGAAGAACTTATTAGAAACATACTAGGAAAAGCATGGACTCCACTGAGAAAGTGTGAGGACATCAGTAAGAGGAATTTGTGATCCTTTCTATCTTGCTAATAGTAACATCACTCATCAGACTCCAGCTCTCATTTTCTAGAATTCTTAATTCTACATTTCTACAAAAGAAAATCTGAGCCAGTCAGCTATGACCAAAAGGCCAAGAGCTGCCACAGAGGGAGAGGTGCCCAAAGTCCATGTTTATGGGCAGTACTCTCTTGTTTAGTTGCTAAGTCATGTCTGACTCTTTTGCAACCCAATAGATTGTAGCCTCCAGCTCCTCTGTCCATGGGATTTCCCAGGCAAGAATACTGGAGTGGGTTGTCATTTCCTTCTCCAGGAGATTTTCCCAGCCCAGGAACTGAACCCATGTCTCTTACATTGTAGGCGGATTCTTTACCACTGAGCCACCTGGGAAGCCCTTATGGGCAGTGTAGACAGGGAAAAATGGTTGGATAGCCAATCACTTTAGCACCTATGACCAATACCGTGGTCATTATGGTATTGTGAAAAGCTCCAGGTTTTCTTTGTAGTGGACTGTTAATTTCTTCCAATGGCTCAGGTAAGAATTAGGTTAAATAGAAAACAACCATAAAGATAGGGTGAAAGCCATGAGTTTAGATTGTCTTAACAACTGAGACATGCTTCCGAAAGTTCCTATATGAAAATAATCCATTTTAAAGGCATATGAAATAAAATCACTGCCAACCAGAGGTACTGAATGAAGCTCGCCACCCCAGGACAGTGTTCCAGGGTCCCAGAGCCTGCTCACCACCAGTTGATTTTGCCCACCGGGCTGTGCTTATACATGAGGCGTGGTGATATAATTTAAGCACGAGAAATGCAGACATCTATATTTTTACCTACTGATATTGGGATTTAGTTTAAAATATGCCTCCTTTAATTATACAAGGTACAGAACTTAACCATCTTGTTCTTTGTATTCCATGTGATTTTCATTTCTACGAAAAGAGTAAATGTGGTAAGAAGGCATGCCAGCTCTTACAGAGGTATGAACTTACCTTCCAAACTGCCGTCAACTGTTTCTGCAAAGAGAAGAATTTGCCTTAGAAGTGTTGTCTAGTCCTTGTTTCAGGAAAACAATTAGCACTCTTCTTAAAACCCACACAGGCATGAATTGCTGGAAGGCAAAAGTTAAATTTTCTCCAATTCAGTGAACCATTTCTTGGTTTGTATTCAGCATGGTACATAATAATGGCACAAATGCTAGATGCTAAGAAAAATATATTACCCGTGTTTAAATTGCCCTTTTATGTGCACTCGCAGGACACTAGGTACCAAAAAAACTATACTAAATGTTTCAGGTGCAGAAATGGCATTTTTGCCATTTCAAATGTCAATTCACATTTGAAGCGTTAAGCTCCCATCACATTTTATTCACATCACCCTTGTGTCTTTTTCATTTGGAGTCTTTTTGTCTTTGAAACTTTCTAATTGTTTTTACTTTATACAGTTTCATAATGAGTCAACCAAAAACCGTATTTAATGAAAGCACTGCTGTGTGCTTGAAATTTAAAATTTACATTAAAAAACAGATCCTTTGAACACCACTAGCTTGGGAGAACAGACACTGACATACACTAGGGAGGGTGGCAGTGAGAAATGTTCAAAATAAGATTTCAGCAGATGGGGAACCACAGTGAACCCAGACCCGTCAGCCCATTTATCATAGTGCTTGCAGTTTCTGTGTCAAGACGGGTGAACAATAATAAATATCCAACCAAGGTGGTTCATTTGTATTCAGAACATTTGAATAAATAAGAAGTTCAAAAAAATCCATGTAGGCTTTTGTTCAAAGGAAAACTCCAGCCATTTCCCTCAGCTCAGCAGTCTGAAAGTTCAAAAGGTAGAAAGTGCTTCTTGCCAAGACTAAACTCTGACAGGCATTAGATAATAAAATTTAATTATGAACTGGCATTTGGGGGGCACCTTAATATAGTTGGGCTCTTGACATGAACAATGAAATTAGGGTTAAAATTATATGTGGGAACTTGACTCTGTCTGCTTTACTACCTACTAAACTTTAGAAGTATAATAAATGTTTCTGATACTGACTTCTAATTTCTGTTCTCAAAAAATTATTCTGAATTTTTTTTCTATATAATTGAAAATTGGGCCAATTCATGGGGTACTATGAGTGCACTGGGTTGGAAAGATCCCCTGGAGAAGAAAATGGCAACCCACTCTAGTATACTTGCCTTGAAAATCCCACGGACGGGGGAGCCTGGTGGACTACAGTCCATAGGGTCGCAAAGAGTCAGTCACTACACAGCGACTAACACTTGTGACTTGTGTCAGTTCGGTTCAGTTCAGTCACTCAGTCGTGTCTGACTGTTTATGACCCCATGAACAACAGCACGCCAGGCCTCCCTGTCCATCACCAACTCCCGGAGCTTACTCAAACTCATGTCCATCAAGTGCTGATGTCATCCAACCATCTCAGCCTCTGTCATCCCCTTCTCCTCCTGCCCTCAATCTTTCCCAGCATCCAGGTTTTTTCAAATGAGTCAGTTCTTCGCATCAGGTGGCCAAAGTACTGGAGTTTCAGCTTCAACATCAGTCCTTCCAATGAACACCCAGGACTGATCTCCTTTAGGATGGACTGGTTGGATCTCCTTGCAGTCCAAGGGACTCTCAAGAGTCTTCTCCAACACCACAGTTCAAAAGCATCAATT